AAACATATGACAACAGCTTAATAATGAAAAGCATTTTAGTTATTATTTCCCAGAAATAATCAGACGTAATGGCACGTGAAAATTTTTAATAATTTCAAGCCCTTCAAAGATCAAGAAGATAATAAAAAGCCAAATGGAATTTTAATCATTTGAGATCAATTCTTTTTCATAACTCCCTAGCTTTATAGGCATAAAAAAACATCCATATCACACAAGAGTTAGTTAATACTTATTTTCTCACTTAAAAATGAAATAACTAAAGAAAGAAAAAATATAAGTCATGGTTTTTGTTATTTTTTTGAAATAATCTAAAATGAAAACAAGTGCAAATTGTGTTTGTGAAATGCGTGTGTCCCACTAATGTAATACTATACGTTCAAGTCCCCCAGTTTGATGTAGTACCTATCCACAAAACAAAGGAAGATTTTCTATGTATTAGTGACCTTTTGACCTTAACATTTAGCCCACGACCTTTAAAAATTAATGGGGTTTAACTCTATATGTAGTATCCTTAATACAAGTATGGTCAATATCCATCTGTCCAATCTTGAGAGGATATCCTGTCCACAAGACTGGGATGAACAGACAAACGAACAGAAGTAAGCCAACATGTCCCTCTCTGTAACGTTTCACAGTGAGGGCATAATCACACTAGACTGAAATTATTTGTAGTATTTTCTTACCTTGTGCATCTAGAAGCAGATTCTCTGGCTTCAAGTCTCGATGAGTCACACCTTTACTGTGAAGGTATTCCTGTAATAAGCAATCAGATATGTTAGTCACTATTAGTACATCTATTACAGTTGACATTAGTATGATAGATTTAACAGCAACATCACTGGTACGATTAACTGGGGTAAAATTAGAATGCTAGATCAGTCAAATATGAAACAAAATCATTTTTTAAAATGTGGAATATTAAACTCCATTAAAAATATGTATGAGGAACTCCTTCCTATTCCATGAATTTCCAAGTATTTCTTGCCTGCTAGTAATTATTTTACACCTGAAGAAGACAGATCAATGTTCTAGTGAAGTATGTAGTATTTTCTCTACATAAAATAATTTTCATTGTGCTTATAAATCAGTGTTTGTTAATTAACTATTACCTTACACTAGAATCATTGAAGAGATAATGACAGCATCTAAAACATTTAAGTCTCAGCTAATTTTAAACATTTCATTCCTTTAATCACATGATCTTTTATGGATATGTTTCTTGTGTCACAAAAATAAAATGCATGTGATGAGGACAAGATTATTCTTAGTCCTGATCTACAGTGGTTTGCTTTTGATCAAAGTTATTAATAAATGTAATAATTTGATTGATTGACTAAGTTGCAGTGTGTGTGTGTATATTATGAGGACAGAAAAACACAGTTCGTTTGAAATGCTGAATATACATTAAAAGGTAAAACAGATGAAGTATATCTAATACAATAAGCAATTTGGTTAAATCACTTGGTTAATAATAAACACTCACCACTCCAGATATTAGTTGAGTAAAATATCTTTGTGCTTCAGATTGAGACATGCCTATATCTGGCTCTACAAAAAAACATAAAACTATAAAATTTTTGTAAAATATTAACTATAAATGCTGAAGTACTTGAAAGACTTTGATATCTACGTGCCCACAGATTTTGTTAGCTACTCACTTATGTGTAATGCATTTATTAAACTATTTATTTTAATTCATAGTACATTGGATACATGGTTATTTTCACAGTAGGGGAGAGCACACTACAGCTTTCTATTTATTTACAATATATACATAATTAGCTTGATATTAAACATTTATCACATTAGCAATTCTGAAAACCTACATTTATCTAAACCTCAAAAAAATTTCAAAACACACGTCTCATGGCTTATAGCTTCTCCTCACAAGAATGGGTTTAGTTCTTAGTATCTTCATAGCTTTATGTATTATTTCCAATATCATTTTGTTAGAACTTCTCAAATTAACATAGCTATTAAAAGTACTTATTACAAAACTCTGGATGGAAATTGTGCATCCATTAAGTTTCTTTTGTTCATAAAATTTTCTCACTTGAAGCATTCCCCATAATATTGATATATTGGACAGTCACAGTTTTGTAAATCATGTCAAAGAATAGCTGACTGACCATATGAAGTATTTTGTGCATACTCATTAATCCTTAAATTCAAACAATGAATTGTAGAGCCCACATAGTCAAAGTTACACATAAATTTATATTTCATATAATTAGTCAACTAATCTTCAACACAGCTTCCAAGACTATGACATTCTCCCAACAGTCGAGGGTTTCAATATTTTGGGAAGCTAAGTGAGAAAACGTTATTACAAAACAATTTAAACTAAAATAAAACATTGTAATAAACATACTATAACACTTTCACAATCTTGTAAACTGTTAAACAAAGACCTACTTACTCTAACAAATAGTTTATAATACTATTTTACAATATACATATATATTTTACTATATTTACATTGGAATTTCAAAAATATGTAGCATTGGTGATAATAATTTATTCTTTTAAATTACTCATCCAGAAAACCTGTTTAAAATACTAAAAAATAAATGTGAAGCCCAATCTATCAATCGATTTATCACTTATCACTGAGTTATTCCAGTTTCAGGGAATTCCAGTCCTCAAAAGTAACCCTGGACAGGGCCAAATCAAGAAAATAAGAATAGGCCTGAAATCCTAGTCTTATTCTTTTCAATGCCTTTGTCCAGGGTTATTGATGAGGGGTGAAAGTCCTTGAACCCAAGAGAACTCGGTGACAAATAGTAAAGATTTGTAACACTATTTCACAGTCTGGTAAACTGTTAAACAAAGACTTACCTATTCGATCAAACAGCTCACCTCCTGAAGCATATTCAAGAAAGATATACTGACGAGATCCTTCATTTCGATGTCCAAAGAATTTGATGATGTTTTCATGATTCAACAATCGATGAATAAAAATCTGAATTATCAAAACAATGAGCAGTACAAAATAATTAGCAATCATAAAAATTGAGACAGGAAAGTAGTTTATAAAAGCAGTTTAAAAATACATACTAGAGATAATTTTAAAATAAATATCTACAAATATGGAAATGGATGTTTTAGAAGTGTATGTGCTGTTTTAATAATGGTTTTGAAGAATCTAGAAACACAAGATTTCTTAACATAGATAAAATTCCTTACTGGAGAATTTTCTTTAGGATATTTTTTAACAATTTAAAACATTATATTTACTTTTTTTACCATAATTCACAAAAGCTTAATGCTTTCTATATAGTTACTTAAATAAACACCTTATAAAATCTTAAACCAGGGAGCCACGTGTCACAGCATCATTTAGTACCTTCAACAATAAGTAATTATACTGTGTTTAAAACTGACATATGTTTAGTAAAAGTTACTGATGGTCACTATAGATTACCATCAAAGCATAATCAAAACTTAAAATAAGAACAGTCAGGCTTCCTACTGTTAACCATACTTCTTTTTTGATGTTTTCAGCAGCTTCTTTTCTATCTTCAAGATTCAGAACCTTGACAGCTACTGCCTCCTGGGTTGTTCGATTTACCAGTAGCTTAACTCTGAAAATAGTGTTATAACTTAATCATTAACAATACACTAAGGTCTCTAGAAAATGTAATTGTTTGTAGCTGAAATAAATTCTAATTAAAAAGGATAGCAAAAAAAGACCTTAGACTTTAGTGCTTTTGTACAAAACTATAATTCTTGTTCAAGACTGACACAAAAACCAAACAAAAAACAATTCACAATACTGTGTCATTTGCTGTGTGAGGATTTTCTTACACATAACATAAATGTAAATAGCAACAGTGTTTCTTAATTCACTACATCACAAGTTAGTTGAACAGGTTATCCTGATGTACACCTTACCACAAATGAGTGTCAGGATAAAATTAGTTAACATCAACCTAGGTTAGTGTAAGTTCTCTTTTATCATAGTTCAAGCCCCAGATTTAAATGTAATATGAACCTTACACTACCTATAGACATGTACAATGGTCTAACCTGGACATGTTTAATTATCACCAATTACACATCAACATAATTTAACAAACCAGTTTTACTGCAATCACTCTCACAACATTCAGTAACTCACATCATAAATCAGTAAGCAAACAAAAAACTGTAACATCATCCATGGAATTACTACTTGTATTAATGACTTTAAAATGCATAGTTACAGTTTATCATATTATCTGGTTTTAAGAGTTAATTTTTCTAAAGGTGAGATTGGAAATGTGAGATGATTATAAATTCTAGCTCACAATGAACGGTAAAATAAAAGGCAGTTTTTGGCTAAGAACTGCTGGTTAAAAAATACATTAGCATGCAGTTTAACAAAACTGATGAGCATTTAATGAGAAATTTGTAGTTTTCTGTAATTCAACTGACAAAATTACTAACAATATATTATATTGTCCCATCATTCACATGTTGATTTAATAACCTTATACTTGTGTTATTAATACTTAATACTTGTGTTAAATGCGGTTTTAGAATCTAAAGAAAACAAGATACTCAACAAAATATGGATTTTGTGTATAATGAAGGACTACAGATTCAGTTTCCAGATGTTGTACAGATAGAAGTTGTCTCAAAACACAGACATATTTTACGATGTTAATGAAACTGAAAGGTACAAACTACTACGTATTTTGGAGTAAAACTTTGCAAAATTACATTTCTAAATCTTCCATCTTGTACATACTCAAATGAATTTTAATGATGGAGAGTAATAATAAAACATACAATTTTTTCTTTAATATTTTTCAGTACATGTTAATCACTTTAATAGTGAGAAAACTGTTGAAATAATGTGTTTTTAATCAATAAAATAATCTATTATTAAGTGTTAAAGTTCTTACAAGATTTTTTTATAGGCTTAGAATTTGCCAAATAAAAACTTTTTATTCCATTTAGAAATAATAAAATTATGAAAAAACTTACTCGCCATATGCCCCTTCACCAAGTGTCTGAATCAAGTCCCAGCCTTCTACAAATTCTTTCACCATCTTACCTCTGGCTTGGTCCAACTAGCCTAATCTATTTTCATTAAAAGCTTTTTGATGTACTTTATGAAAAAATAACAACACTGCCTGTAAAAAAAAAAAAACAGATACAGTTGGCATACGCCTGAGGGCTATAAAATTCCTAATCTTATTCCTGTCATAACTGGTACAGCTATGAAGTTCACTCTTCCATAACTAGAATATATTTTTATTCAGATAGATTCAGGTAATTTTTTTAAATTTTCATGAGGTGTTCTGCATTTAGATGACATTCTCATTAAACAGATATCAAAAAGTTATCAACATGTGCTAAGCCTTTTGCTTAGATAAAAAGTTGCATATGACAATTGCTAGAAGCTTGCATCACTTTGGTCCTGTGTCTACTCTAAGAGGGTGAGTGTATATTAGGGGTTGACACAATTACTTGTACAAACTGGTATAAAATAGTTATTTAGACTAGTCATTGATGTACATTACAATGGATTCTGGTGACTAGTGCTGAGTGATTAGTGGTGTTTGTTAATTAATCAATCAATAGCCCAATTAAATGATTACATTCAATTTGTACAATGTTCTATAAACCATGATACCTACAAACACACACACAAAAAGTTGGTGGCAGGCACTGCCATCCAGTTACCTTTACAGGAAAAGTCTGGCCCATCTGGCAAGAGACATGTGAAAACCAAGTATTGGAAAGGAAGGATGTAGAGTGCTTGACTGAAGTCATATGAGGAGGATGTATTGAAGAGGAAGAGTAAATAGGAACGAGGACAGAAGTGGAAACCACAGCTGCGCTGGCCAAATTGGTGCTACCAAGAAGATGCAACATGGAGTGATATGGATGATGGAGAGGTCACAAGAAAGAAGACAGTTGGGGAATAGGCATAAAGGTAAAGGCCTCCCCAAATTTGACTGAGGGCATCAACAGCTACAGCCAAAGGACGTGGAATTGGGGACAAAAACCTGTTAAGCTTGTATTTCAGGTGGGTGGTGAATATATTCAGTTCCAGAGTATTCCACTGGAAACATAACCAACCAAATACATGTGGGCCAGGGAACCACTTCATTGAGAGAATTTTGTCGAAGCACGACAAACGATCTGTGACCAAATTCAAGGCACCCGATATATGACTACCTAACAAGGAAATGTGATGGCTGTGGGCCCAAAATAGGAGATCCAATGTGTGGAACAAAGAGATCTCAAAAGAGTGCCCTTTGCCATGTGATGTATGAGACAACCATTGAGTTATCGGAATGGATCATAACCGACTGGTTCCAGAAAGATGGAAGGAAGTGAACCAAAGCCCAACAAACAGTGAGCAGTTTCAAGAAATTGATAGGCAGAGATAACTCATCAATAGACCAACAGCCCAAAATCTCCTGCATGTCCAGATATGCACCCCAATCGGAAAGAGAAAGGATAAGGAGAAGTAAAAGGAACACCCTCTTTGCAACTACAATGGACTAAACAAAGGAATATGCTGGGATGCTGGGGAGATGGGAATGTGGAGATAAGAATCTGAGAGACATCTAACTTCATCACCCAAAGACCAGGAGTGAAAGCCCATTGAAGAGATAGGTAGGACTGCAGGGGGAATCAAGGAAGGTATAGGAACCACTTTTAAGGAAGAGATTGATGACAGGTTGCCAGTCCCCAGTCTTCTTAGGTACTATGAACAAACAGAATAGAAACCTGGCTGAGAAGGACCTCCTTATTCTACAGCACCCTTGTGAAAAAGATCAAGAACCACCTTGGATAGATGCTGGCTGGAAATGGAATCCCAAAGAGGGAAAAGGATATGGGAGATGAGGTGGAGAACTGATACAAAGAACAAGCTCTGTGGTGAAGGACTCCCAGATGGAGGTAATGCACAAAAGCCTGGCTCTCACTGGACCTGTATCCACCTCACAGTCAACGGGACTGCTGGGGGCATTGAAACCCTCAACAAATGAATCACACATGGGACAAAATGGCATCTTGACCCAAGAGATCCCAACAACAGAGGAGCCATGTTTGTAAGGTGGAAGAGAATAAGTGTGCAAGCATGGAAAAAAGCAGGGCACGAGTCTCCACCAAAACCCCTCAGGGGAATGATGAAGAACCTCAGACAGAAGGTGAATCAAGGAAAGGGTACGAAGGAGGGAGGGTAACATGAGGTGGATACAGGAAAATTGATGTTGGTAAAACGTAACATACCTGATATATTAACTCAAGAAAAGGAGGAGGAGGCCTGGGCACTTACACTGGTGCTAAATATGACTGAATGGCATAGGAAGGGAAAGAAAACAGACAGCTGAAATCTTTAGTCCTCTTGTTCAGGGTCTCCGAACAAGGTATGAGAGGATAATATTCAGGCCAATTGGGAGCCTACATGAAGGTGGCCAACTTCTGGTGAACCAAAGACATAACACCTACCACCGACAATTGTGGACCTGAAGCCAATGTAGTCGAAGTGAGGTAAACTATAATAGGAACAGCAGTGGTGGTAGTTGTAATATGAAACTCAGAGTTCAATTCAAGTAAGAGAGGAAGTACAAAATACCAAACAGGGAGCCCCAAATAATCATGTATTAGAATAAAAGACAAGTAATACTAACATGTACTAACTAAAATGCCAGAAAACAAGTGTAGTAAATGTAAAGAAAAATTAAGTTGGCATAAAAACAAAACAATTAACTGATTGAAAATTCCATAAAGAAAAACACGTCTGAACACCACGAGTGCCAATCAAAAAGTGAATTTTGTTTAAACTGAATAAAAGGTGTCAGCTGTGCTACAAGTGGTGTAACATTCCTATTGGTGGAGGGTTTTCACATGCTCATTTCCATGCTAACACACAACTGCCTTACGTGAAGGCTTGTGAGGGTAGGTGAGAGTATCAAGGCTAGAGGCAAGTGAAAATTTGTACAAGTCAGGAAAAGCTATTCTGTGAGAAGAGATATTGTATTGGAATATTATATCACAAAAGAGGGCCAACATGAATTTACTAAAGGGAAATGTTACTTCACTAATCTGCTATATTTTTTACAGTATGTTACACGTTATCTGTAGAAAGAAAAGGGTGTAAATTTGGAATACTGGGATTTTCAAAAGGTTTTTGATAACATGCCACACTAGGTTAGTTTCACTGAAAACTGGCTAAGTGAGGAAAAAACAGATTGCAGTTATTAATAGAGTCCAGTCAAAGTGGACTTTAATTACCAGTAGAGTGCTTCAGGAGTCAGTGTTTTGGACTTTGATTTTTCTTACATACATTAATTACTTGATAGAGACATAAGCAGTAATTTGGTAAAGTCTGCTTATAACACTAAACTCCTTGTGTAATTTTAGCTATGTTTGGTACTACAGTATAACTTGGATCAACTGGTAAATTAGATAGTTAGTTAGCAAATGTCATTTAAATATAATAAATGGAATTAAGGTAACACACTTATCATAATTTGGGTCATACTTTAATTACAGATGAGATACACTCAATAGTGTAACCACAGAAAAAGATCTTGGTACAGTGGTGGATAAATCTCACAAACATATTTCAATATGTATTATACTTTTAAGTAATGCTTATTTCACCATTTCATTATTAAATTTTATGATTTTATGAATAGACACCACCTTTTCAGAAAAAATGAAATTTTTCAGTCATATTTACATGAATGGATATATTTATAATTTAATTAATATCTAGTATATCTTCCTTTCGCTTCGTGGAGTTCGTTGATCCTTTGGGGCATCGTGAGAATCATCTCCTCAATTTTAGATTGTGGGATTTTCGCCCACTCTTGCTTCAAAACTTGGAGTAGATCGCTCTTCGAAGTTGGTTTTTTTGGTTGTTTATTGACTTGCCGGTCGAGTATGACCCAGAGATTTTCGATGGGGTTCATGTCAGGAGATTCGCTCGGCCAGGGCAACTTCTGAATACCATTTTCTTCCTGCCACTTGTGGGTGTTTCTAGCAGTGTGACACGGTGCTCCATCTTCCTGAAACCACGTTGTGTTCTTGTCCAC